GGAGGAGGCGGAGGAGGAGGAGGAGGTCGAGGAGGAGAAGGAAGAGGAGGTCGAGGAGGGGACGCGCGAGCCTGGCCGAGGTCGCGCGAGCCTGGCGGTGAGGGCCCGAAGGCCCGCATCGTCCGCTGCTCCGCTGGCGCGGTCGGCTGTCTCGGGGCCCCGACGCCTACCCGCGCATCAGCAGGCTGGAGCGCCATGCGGGGAAGGGAGGGGGGGAGGGGGGGAGGGCAAGCTAGCTGCGATCGCGCAACATCTGAAGTCATACCCCTCCCTCCCATCCCTTGCCATGGCGCGGATATCCTCTCTGTTCGTACAGCCGACTGCCGAGCAAGGCCATGATCCCGAGAGGGTACGCGATAGATGGTAGAGCACAGCATAGCATGGCGTAGAAGCGCACGGCGGAACATAGCATATCATAGCATGGCGTGGCATTGCGTAGTGAAGAATTGCATCAATGCATTGCAACGCAAAACATGACATCGCACAGCGGCACAAAACATAATACAACGCTGCATGTGATGGCAATGCACCAGGCTCCTTTGAGTTGATTGTCTTCGAGGGGCCTGGGCAGGTCTGAAGTCGTGGCTCCCTGTTCAGCTCCCTGGGCTCCCCAGACAGCTCCCCATGAGGCGGGGCTGATAGAGAGCACCCGCTGGCTATGCTTTCAGCATCGCCTTCTCAAAGCAGAAGCGGGGCTCTGGCCTGATACTTCCTCGAAACGATGCAGCGGTAGCACGATTTGGAACGACCAGAGGCGCAGAAATGGGGTCAACTCTGCAGCGGGAGCGACATTTTGAAGGACCGAAAGAATTGGATTGTCAAAACACATCTGAAAACCAAGCTCCCGGCAATCCGGCGTGTAAAAAACAGTACGCGGAGGGGTGCTGGCCATCTTCAGCACAGACTCAGGGGAGAGAGGAGAGTAGTATCTATAGCCGGGCGTGGTCTTACAAGCCCGGCTGTTCGATGGTTTTTTGTCTTTTGTTTGCGTTGCCTCCGCTTCCGCTTCCAGATGCGTGGCCCCGCAGCTGCCTCAGGGCCGCGCCCAGCCCCCACAGCCCCCGCCCCACCAGAGCCAGCCCAGCCCCCACGAAGCTCCAGTTGTCCCCAAGGGGCGGGAGGTGCACGGGCAATCCGCAGCTCGCTGGAAACCGTCCTGCACCCCCAGGCAGGTCCCAAAGGCACCACCAGGAATTGAACCCAAGTAAGTCAGATTGTGGGAGACAAATTTGCCCCATTTCACTACAATGCCATCATTTTTAGGGTGAAAGGGGGGCATTTCCTCCTTGCCCCATTCTATTGCCCTTTCCCATTTCGCTACGTTGCCTCAGGCAGGCGGGGGGGAGGGGGAGAGGTGCCTGCACCTGCTGTGCCTGTGCTTGCTGTGGCCAGGAGCCAAGGGCCTTG